AAGCATAATGAAAAATACTTTTTAAATCTTAGAATAAAGGCTTTTACAAGTGTTACACTTTTGTGGATCTTACTTTGTGTCTACACTTTATTAAAGGGGGACTGGAATCTTTTTATGTTATTGCGCATAAACCCCAGACTATCTCCTGCTAAAAACATGCACATCTCCTACTGATGCAGTGTGGACATTGGTCAGGTCTTACTTCAGTGTCATACATGAGACGGTATTTTTCTTATGATTTAATCATTTATGGAAAATAAATTAATGTACTGAGAAAAGAGCTAATACAGAATACGAAGACTCCAAGGGCAAAAATGTTCTACAAGAAACTGTTTACCCTGAAGTAACAGCAGTCAGAGGAGAATTCCGTTTTGCTTTGAGCCATACAAGGCTACAAGAAGTTTTTTGTAGAATCATGGAGAAGTTGGTTGGAAGGTATCTCTGGAGATCACGGAGTGTCCCATCTGAAGTGGGATAGCAGTACAATCTCCAACATCTTGCTACCTGCCAAATAGCCTTCCCAAGGATCACTTGGAGGATGTCTTTGCCCTATCAAATACTTTCTGTTACTACAAACATGCTTTGGAAGATGTGCTGGTGAGGTGGATTGCATGTTAAAGTGCCCCAATGAACTCCTCTGAGTTAGTAATGTCTTAGTGTTATTCACTTACTTTAAAGTCATGTTAAAATACAAGTAAGTTTTTATTCACACCAGTTAGGCAAGTACAAGCACAATCATGTATTTTATATCTATCTAATTATATCAACTAAATAGAACTAAGTAGAAATGTGTTTTCAAAGAGGTGAAGAACAAAAAGAAAAACTGTATTCAAACTGATGAGCTGATACTAGCTGCTAGGGGCCTACCATCTTCACTGCATGCTCCTGTCCTCCTCCTGTGGCTGGCACCCAGTTTTGCCCTCCTTCTTTACGCTAAATATGACTGTCATCTGACCTTCCATAAATACATTTCACGTCACTACATAGCTAGGGGGAAGGTTTAAAAAAAAAAAGAACGCCTTTCTGAAGGCTCAGTGAAGTGAAATGGCTCAGCAATATGTCAGAGAAGCACCAGAACTCCCCCAAGGGATCCTGTGGGAGTGCAAGACTGGGAAGTGGGTAAACTCTTGGACATCTGCAGAGACATTGTTCAACATCTAACCTAAGATGGAATCAGACAAGTCTCTCTCCTGTCCAGCTGATTTTCTGCCCTAATAAGGTTGTTTGTTTTTGTAGGTACGTTCTACCTCTGTTTACAACTATTAAAGAGTACTTTTGCAACATGTCATCTTTTTTTCACCCCGAGGTCATCCGGGAGTTCAGGACTAAGTATTTCTTTCCAAAAATTTGCTTTCTTTCATCCTAATGCAGGACACAGGGTGTTTATTTCTATTAATAGCATAAGCATTGTTTCATTTTCTTATCCTTTTCTGAGATATGTCAGTACACGAGATAATATACAATTAAAAACTTCTTGGCCTCAAGAGGGGTAAAATTCCTCGTCCACTTTTATGGCTCACATATGAATATATCAAACTTCGTATTACGTATCAATCTGTTCATTAATAAACATGCTAGTGTGACATATAACTAGCATCTTTGTGCGTAGCTTATTATTGAAAATAGGCATAATAGTAATGCTTTTTGGACTGACAGTGGTTTTGGGGTGACTGCCAAAATCACTTCTGTAAGGAAACCACAAAACACAAAACTAAACAGATTCCTTCTAGCAAAGAAATGAATGCAATTAAAGTTGTTCAGGCTGTACAGTTAAGATCTCCAGCCCATATAACTAGGTTGTCATACAAAAAAACATCTGAACTAATTGTGGAAGTACAGATAAATTAAAAACGTATCCCTAAGTTGCAAAGCAGATATCAGTGTCGTAAAACTGTTAAGTTTGTTCCACATTGAGTGATGCAAGTGACACCTGAATTTTAAAACAACTGATAGGTAACTTTCAGATAATTTAGGTAAAGACTTGTAGACGTTTATTATTACCGAACCAAAAATGATTTTTGATGCTGATTTCAAAGTCTGACTTCTATCTAAAAATCTAGGAAATGGCGATTCCCACACTTCATTTTATATATTGGAAAAGATAATCCAGTGCTAGTCTCCAAGTTTTTCTCCCTTCTACAGATAACAGAATCAACTGGCTGACTACATTTAGCTTTCAAGGCCTCCGGAACACACATGAAGGATCTTCAGCTATGCCTGCATGTCCCAAGGAGCACAGAAATCCCAGTGGGTTTTCTAACCAACCTCTGCACATTAACATGGTTAAATGCAGATTCAAATGCAGCCAAGCTGGAAAATGCGGGTTGCTGGCTTCCATTTTTGTTTCAGATTGTCATCCATGTGGTAAGGTATTGAAATACTTTCTATATTCAGCAAAAATGCTGACAGTAGTCCACAAAGCACAAATACAATACATTTAAGCAACAAGGAACTGAAAATACATCCTTCCAGAAGTCTACAGCTGATCTGATGAAGAGAGATAAGTAACTGGCTTCTGTAGAAGCAGCTAACAAGACCAGTATTTAAGGACGCTAGATCTCTTCTAGATTCATATAAACATGTATACTGATTCTACATACTAATACAGAATTAGAAAATAAAATACAGATAATATAAAAATATCTTCAAAAGAGGAAAGAAGAATTATTAAAATTAATTTGTTTGGAACACAAACAAATTTGTTAGAGGAACTAACACTTGTGTTTCTCTTCCTTACTTCATTCTCAATTCCTACCTGGTTACAGTGGACTTCCAGCTTTTACTGTTAGCTCCATCAAATTGGCTCTCAGCCAAATTTAGCTTCCTAATGGTTTCCTCCAGCTGTACAGTTAACTTCTCATTTAGTATCTCCAAGTTATTCTTTGCTATTCGTAGCTTCTCTCCACTGTCAGCTTCCTGTTGTTCAATAAAAACAAAGTTTATGGAAAACTTAAACCTCACATGAATAACAGGATTACCTGAAATGCTGTTGAAATAGGATCAGTGCCGATTTAGAGGAAAACAGTTCAGCCAGTATTACTAGCACTACAACTTCTAAATTATGTCTTGGGCTGCTCCTTGTATGTCTCCTCTCCACATCTAATTAAAGATTCTGCCATAGCAATATCAGTGCTTAGAAAAATGTTCATTCCATATTAAACATTAAAACAAAAAAGATACTTGTCACAACAAGTAACTAAAGGAAATGCAGGGATGCATTATAATGATCATACCTTTTTCAGTTCTTTACGCAGCCTCTCGTTTTCAGTAATAACTTTTTCCATTCCTTTGGTTTTAGATTCAGAATGCATACTCGGCTGGCCCCCCGGATGAAGTTTCATTTTTTCCATTTCAGACTAAATATCACAGTTTGTTAAAACACATATACATTGCTTAGTAGAAAATTCAGATTTCAATTTTTAAAGCACAGCATAGTTACAGCTACCTACCACAGTGAACATAAAATTTCGTCACTTATTTAAATATATCCCTAAGGTACAGAGTCCCTTTACATAAATCATACAGTATGTTATACTAAAGTCAAGTTTTGCTTTTGTGTTCTACACATTTCACATTTGATATTTTTAAAACACTTCTATGCCAATCAATGTCAACAACAGGCTTCCTGCTCCATTTTCCTACAAACTTGTATGTAAACTGCTATCTAAACATAGTTATTGGATAGAAATCAGTACCTTTAGCCTCTCATTTTCCTGTTTAAGAACAAATAATTTCTCATTAGAAACGACAGCTGGAGTTTTTTTCAGATCTTCGTTTTCTCTTTGGACTCTCTCCACAACCTTTTTCATCAAACCAATTGTTTTTTCCAATTCTGGGACTGTCTTTCCACTTCTACCAGACTATAGAGAAGGAAGGAAAAAAAAGTAAAAGGAAATAAACAGTTCATCTTAACATTCTGGGATATTCCAAATCTTACATTATTGCTTATTTTCCCACTGCAATTTATATTTATAAAAAGATATTATATTTTGGTGTGATTTGAACCCTAAAGTTTCTTGCACACTTAGCTCCCCAAAGTCAACATATCAGCTCTTTCATTTTCTGTGTTACTCAAGGAAACTTTAGTTAAGTATCAAAATCTGCTGTACTTTATGAAGTAAATGTAAACATTAGGAAAATAAATCAAACTACTACTTTTTTTTTTTAAGCTTTTCTTGTAGAGCAATTCCCTGATCCAACAGACTTTTATTTTCTCATTATCTTTGTACTGACTGTTTTCCTCAGCAACAATAATAATTTAAAGATGTTGCTGCTTCTAGTTCTGGGTCCATGAAGCACCTCCTTTTCTTTCTACAGAGGTAAGGAGCACAGTACAGTGGAAAATGGGGAAGATTTTACTCCCTGGAGCTGTACATAAACCCTATATAGCAACCAAGCTTTGGAAGTGACTTATTCGTTCTTCTCTAAAATAACTGAAGGGATTAGGAGGTTTGTGTTGGTACAGAGCAGAGTTAAAGTAAAACCTCTGTCAGATTTTGGTGCCTGAAAGGGAGGAAGATTCAGAATTTGCTGCCTCCTCAGAACCTTTGCATGAAACAGTTTTATAAACTGAATTTCCTTATCGAAAGACTACCACTGCATAAGAAACAGGCAGATACACAAAGAGTCTGTGCAAGGTAGAAGTAAAAGAATGGGAAATACACAACCTTTTCCAGGTACCCAGAAGTAGAAGCCATTCTCCTTGGATAATGAAAGAGCTACAAAGGCACTTAAGAGCTTTTATTAAATCAGCTTCCTTTAAAAGGTCACATAAACAGTTTGACAAGTTAGCATCAAGAGAGATACTAAGCACTGCTGAAGCCTTTTTTCCCCTGTAACTTCTGAAATACTAATCTGTTAAAGTAACTGTTAATAGCTAGGGCAAAATTTAACTGTTTCATCTTGCAGTACATTTTCTAACATCTGCATCAAATCAAAATCCCATCTTTTAAATAATAAAGCTGTAACTGTATTATGCATTTACATAAATACTTGAATATAATCTTCATTTTTCATAAAATTAATAATTTAGCTTTAATAAAATAGATTTTTCATATTTTTATTTCATGTAATTATGATTAATAAATGCTGTTACAATACTCACTCCTCTAATGCTGCCCAGCTTTTGTTCAACATCTGCTTTCTCTTTTTTGAGAAGCTCACACATTTCTTTTAAGTCACCTACTTGGTCCTAAAAAATCCAAAAATATAAGCAACTTATTTAGATTTCAAACGGAAGAGTAACAAAATTACAGTTAGTTTACTTTGATGAATGTAAAGAGAAAACAATCCCCCATTGCAATAACATTTTTTGTCATTTCTGCCAGCCATTCAACCTTCTCAACTTCCATAAAAACATGAAAAATTTACAGTATGTACAGAAAAGAGAGCTATATCCTAACCTGTGTCAGAGTAAAGGGGACTAAAGGTAAAAAGATGTTACCTTTAGTCTTGGCAAATCTTTATTGGCCTGCTCTAGCTGGAATCGTAGCTCAATGTTTTCAGATGATAATCTTAAATTTTCCTTTAAAACCTCTTGTTCTCTTCGATATTGATCATCTGATCCTATTCCTGATGTCTTAAGAAAAGGGAGGGGAAAAAATTATTATTAAGTGGTAATGCACTATTCATTTTACCAGTTGTAGCTGTAAAAGAACAACAGAGAATCAGTATTCTTCACAGAAATAAGATGGATGATAGTTGTATCACCAGTTTTGATCTAATCTGCTCTGCCTTTAACTCCTTCTCTTACATTTTCTAAACTTGCTTAACCTTTAAGGGAAGTTTACAAATCAGTATAAACCAGTAAAAATTTTGTTACCAAAACTAACTCAAAGTATTGGGTAGAAATAGATCACAGAATCACACGGGTTGGAAGGGACCTCAGGAGATCATCTAGTCTAACCCCCTGCCAAAGCAGGTTCCCTACAGCAGGTTGCACAGGAGTGGGTTTTGAAGATCTCAAAGACAAAAAAGCTGCAACACTGTACCTGGGAACAGCATCTGATTTTAAGGACAGATTCTGATATGTTTATTAAATAGTGCATATGGCATAAGGAATTTCACTGAACTCAAACAGATTACAGAGCAAGTCAGGAAGAGTAGTATATAACTCCAGTTCTTAGTCTGTTAGTTCATGCAATCTTAAGTCTTTATCCATGGAGGCTAGTAACTTCTATTACATAAAGAGAGCTTTGCATGCCTTATATTGCCAATTCCAATATTAAGTATAAGGTAAATTATTATGCCTGACTAATAAAGAGTAAAACCTTCTGATGATATAATAATCAGCAGGTTTTATTTATGTAATTATGGAGTTAACTATATGATCCATTAATTCATCACTAATAATGATAAGAATAAAGTATTTGCTTCAGTAAAGCCTATTTTTTTCTTAGTGTAAGTAATAATACATCATAAGTCTCTTAAACAATGAAGCTGCCTGTATCATTGTGATGATTTGTAAAGTTTATGGATTAAAATTTTAGAATTGACAGTAGCTTACTTGTGAGCTGACATGCATGCCTATCATGAAAGTGTAAGGTTTGCTTTATGGACTACTTGGTGACTACTTCAAAATCCCTGTAGACCATGCATTGGAAAACACTGCATTATCAAGATCAAACTATTCTATTTCTACATCATTTACACAGGAGAAATGCTAGAGGACTGCTACAGTATCAAACCTCAAGCATTTCACAAAACTCTGGTGTTATTTCAACCCCTTCTGTAACACTTTGGTAAGTTTCATGTTCATCCTCTGCAGTGTGTTGATTCCTTTCATTGTTCACATTTATTTCTTCTGCTGCATAGTTATTAGCTTGATTAGAAGGTTCCCCTGAATCAGATGGATTGCAGCTCATTCTGTCAGCATAAGGCTCTTCTACACTTTCTTCTTCATCAACATGTGATTGCTTGAGTATTTCTTGCTTCCTTTCCTCTTCAAATCTGCCATTAAGTTTTCCACTCTCAGGCTGCATTATATTTTCTTCTTTTTCACTGCAGTTGTCTTCATCAGCTTCAGCTATATTTTTGTTTTTCAGTCCTTCCCTAGAAATATCTGTGTCCTTGCATTTCTCACTATCTTCAGGGTGCTGTTCAGGAGACACTTCTGTGCTTGCATCCACAGTAGCCTCATGGTCTTCGTTATGCATGATGCATGTTTGCATGTCTGCTTCCTCATCTATTTCATTGCTGTTAATAATGCTATAATTAGTCTGAAGTTTGATTTCATTCCTATTCGAAATAGATTTCTTTTGAAGGGAATTCAAATACTTTTGTTTACTGATACTGATAGGAAAAGACTTGGTCAGTTCAGTTTGGTCACATGTACTCTGATTCAAGTTGAAGATAGAATGAAGCATGAAAGAAAAGCAGAAGACAGTAAAACAAAACAGGACATAAAGAAACTTGGAATGTACTGTTAAATCTATTTATTGAAAGATTAAGATAACCCAATAATGCAGTATTTGCATTATAATGAACCTTGTAAAAATCAAAACATAACAAAACCACGTAATGTAAATGAAATGCAGCTCAGTATTTCCCCAAACTCTGTGTATCCCAAATTTTCAATCACTATGGAACATAGAAGTAGTCTCTCACTTGCAGACTCACATATTTAAAAATACATATCCCTTATTTCTCTACATATCCTAGGCTGCTGAACATTTCAGCTTCTACCTGTAGAACACAGAAACTATAAGTTTAGGGTTTTGGGGTTTGTGTTTTTTTAAAAACACTAAAAGCTGACCATTTCATACCCTGTTCTGTAATTTTAAATAAAACCAGCTAAATTACACAGAATGCCAAATGGGTAACAAATATTTTTGTTAAGTATGTGCTATTCCTTTAGGTAATATGGTTACATTATTAACTTACCGAGGGTCTAGAATAAGTCTCTTTAGAACACTGTGTCTGCAATGCATGAAGCTTTTCCTGAAGGTACTGATTTTTCAAATGTAATTCTTCTACAACAGAATCTCGTGGGATTGCTTGTTGTGTTCTACACAAAAAAATTAATCAAGCCAAAACAAACAAGTGGCTATTAATGCAGAAAAACATCCCTTAAGGTAAAAAAACCTCATGAACTTCTGGATTACTAGACTGGATTTTCTGGTATCACTGGGGTAGTTTTTCTAAATCAATGTTAGCCATATTCACTATTTCAAATAATCCCCATGAATTGAAAGTACTTACTTTGGCAAAAAGAATCTGCTTTTTTGAGATATGTACAGCTTCTATTACTCAAGTACACTATCCACTGTGATAGTGGATACACTGATTAAGAATACACTTCCTAATTGCAATTTAGCAGTTGCAGTAACTTTCACCAACTCTAAATTGTAACTATAATTTTACATAATAGGAGCCAGATGCTTTAAATTTTATTCAGCTTTTTAGAATAATGAACCAATCCTTCATATTCTCTGAACTTGCACCATTGCTCCCAAGTAGCATTAAATTTGCTCATCACAGACTCAAAGAAGAATTTTTGAAATTCCGTTCTGTTTTTTTTTTTCCTTATTGAATCAGTCTAATAGAGACTATCATATCTCTTCCCACAGATTTTTTTTCTCATTTAGATTTTTTAGTTTTTATAAATTCTTTTAAAATCCCTCTTACCTCATGTGAGCAACTTCATTTTCTAACTTTAGATTCTGTTTTCTTAGTTCTTCCAGTTCTTTTTCAGTCTCTAAGGCTCTTACTCCAACAATTCGGTCAACTGTGATACCAGTGGTTTTAAGTTTCTTCTGTAGAGCAATTTTCTCTTTTTCAGTCCTGAAATATCCAGTAAATTTATATTTAAAACTTTATTTGCTAACTTGCTTTCTCTAGGAGAAAACATTTTCTGTCTTGAAGAAACCACATTTCCAATTTATTTGCTCAGTGAACTACACTCCCTTTTCTGTTTAATAAGGTTACCTTATAGACAGTACAGCTTTACCAAAACAAAAACAAAACCAAAACCCAACCAAAATCCAAAAACTAAAGTTGGAAAAAATAGTTAACATTCAGTCAGTATCATGCATGTAATAAACCACTTGCTGGTCTTGCATGTGTTTTATGTGAAATTCATGCAAGACTTGCTAAGATTAATGCCATTTTAAACAAGTTGCAAACCACAATCTCCCAATAACTATTATCACCATCAGTTTCCTTTCTCTTCTGCATCTTTTATGAGTAAAACTCTGCCATTACTGTACTGAAGTAAATGTAAAATTTGCAGAAGGTTTGCAGATGTGTTTTTTTAAAAGGGCTTCCATCTCATAATCCTAGAACCATGAGTACTGCAGCAGCAGTCCATGTAACAGTAGCATAGTATCCAGACCTAGCAATCTGATTAAGTAACATAGCAGTGCGAAATAGCCTGTCTTAATAAAGCTGTTATTTAGTTCATGGGAATAACAGAATGCTATATACAAGAAGCATAGCAAAGGACTTAAATTTGTTTTATTCAGTTTTATTAGTTTCTTCCAATAAAGGTTGTTGGTTTCTGTAAGGGAAAGGATACTAGAGGAGTAGCCTGCTGCTTGAAAAATAACTAATCCTTTTAAACTTAAGAGCAACGTCAAATTCTAGACATAAATCTTATGAACATAACAAACTGTTCTAATTATTATGTGGCAAATATATCTGAATTTTGTTTATGTCATCATTTTGTAGCTGAATCTATTAAAACCAACTTACTTGGTATAAATTTCCTTCAATGTATTCAGCTGTTTGGTTAAAACATCTGCTTCTTTTCCCTTTTCCCTTAGTTTGTTCCGCAATCCTTCCATTCTGATTTGCCATTTTTTACCTTCTTCCCATCTAATTATTTCCTCCTTGGAGGTCTGTGAAGCACATAAACAAATTATGTATTTAATTATTTTCCTTGAAGCAAAATACATGTTAGAAAACCAAGAATGATACATTCTTCATACATTATGCCATAGCAGCCCTATATTATTTACCTTATTTACCATAAGTTAAATAGCAGGCCCAGCAGGATACATTAAGTATGCTGTAGTGACTGGTGTATAAAGCTGATGCAGTTTAATCATAGAACACTTCCAGGGAGGTGGCATCCACAGCTTCCTTGGGCAACCTGTTCCAGTGTCTCACCACCCTCACAGGAAAGAATTTCTTCCTAATATCCAATCTAAACCTCCCCTCTTTCAGCTTAAAGCCATTTCCCCTCATCCTATCACTCCCTGCCCTTGTAAAAAGTCCCTCCCCAGCTTTCTTGTAGGCCCCTTCAGGAATTGGAAAGCCACTATAAGATCTTCCCGGAGCCTTCTCTTCTCCAGGCTGAACAGCCCCAACTCTCTCAGCCTGTTCTCATAGGAGAGGTGCTCCAGCCCTCTGATCTTCCTCATGGCCCTCCTCTGGACTTGCTCCAGTTAAGTCTATGTCCTTCTTACGTTGGGGGCCTCACAACCGGACACAGTACTCCAGGTGGGGTCTCACGAGAGCGGAGTAGAGGGGAAGATTCACCTCCCTCGACCTGCTGGCCACCCTCCTCTTGATGCAGCCCAGAATACAGCTGGCCTTCTGGGCTGCGAGCGAACATTGTCAGCTCATGTTGAGCTTCCCATCCACCAGTGTCTACCAGCACCCAAGTCCTTCTCCTCAGGGGTGTTCTCAACTCATTCTGTGCCCAGTCTGTATCTGTGCCTGGGATTGCCGTGACCTAGATGCAGCACCTTGCATTTGGCCTTGTTGAACTTCATGAGGTTAGCACAGGCCCACCTCTAAAGCCTGTCAAGGTCCCTCTGGATGGCATCCCTTCCCTCCAGCACATCAACTGAACCTCACAGCTTGGTGTCGTCGGCAAACTTGCACCAGGGGGTTGGTGTCCCTCAGGGGTCAGTATTGGGACCAGTGCTGTTCAACATCTTTGTCAGAGACATGGACAGTGAGATTGAGTGCACCCTCAGCAAGCTTGCCGATGACACCAAGCTGTGTGGTGCGGTTGACATGCTGGAGGGACAGGACTAAGCAACAGGTATTTTAAAAGTCTCAAATTGGAAGAATAAGTGCAGTCCTAGAATAATACTTAATATCATAAATAGTCTCAATGTCATTATACAAGCATGCTATAATATACTTTATAAAATAATTTATGATTGCTATGACAAGTTATTAATTAATTACTTAAGTAGTAAAATAACAAGTAAAAAACCAAACAAAACAACTGGTAAAATGAACACCTCTCCAATCACTCAGAGCCTCTTGTATGTGGAGATCACTATTGTGAAGAATAATCACTTACACAGACATAATTCTTTTTTGAATTCACACTTTTGCTCCTAAGTACTTCATGTTTTTATCATTGCATTGATTTTGCAAATGCACACTGGACAGCACTTAGGTAATCGATTTCACTGCTACCTATAAAATCTTAGTTTTCTAAGATTTGTAATGGATCTTTAGTTCTACAAAAAAGGGCAGGAAAACATTAACAGGCCAGTACTAAGCAGCAAGAAGAGTAACAAAGCATGAAAAACATGAAGAAGTTAGTCATGAAACTGCTTTTCTTCTGATCAAGTTTGGTTGGTTTTTGTAGAGGCAACAGGGAGAGTTGAACTGCCTAGACCCTAGGCTGATCACATCTTTCAAAGCCACGATCTGAATATCACATACCTTGTCTTCTCTTACACCTTTTTCTTCTGTTTCTTCACACTTCTCAAGTTCACTTTCCAGCTTTTTAATTTTTTTCTGAAGTGCATCTATCAGATTTTGTTCCTCAGCTTTGCTCTGAAAAATTACAAACCTAAGTATTTTTCTCCACTCAAAAAATAAAGACTTTAATTGCAATTGGTAAAATTAGTTTACAACCTAATTGGCCTTTTAAAAATTATCTTCAAAGTACTGTAATGTAACTTTGCATTCTAAACTGAGTAATCAGCAGCAAGTAGCTGAATTTAAAATAAAAATTAGACAATTCTACTGGAAAACCTTTACTTCTCTTCTGAAAGAGAAAATAAGGACAACCAGAAAGATCACAAAATTCCATTTTTCAAAGAAGCTTTGAAAGCGGTAATTCAACTCTTTAGACTCTTTCAAACATATTTCAAAGAGCAAGAATTTTTCAGTCTGTTCTTTTTATTTGAGACATGTTTCCAACAGTAAAAGGTAATAGCTCACATGTAACCCAGCTGATGAGCAAACGTAAATTTTTAAATCAAATATAAGTCTCAATGCCTGCCAAAAATACTTAATCTTTTCCCGCAAAACCAGCACATCTATGCAGAAACATATTTTGAACATATTGAACATGTGTTTAAAAATCACTTCTACCTGAATGCTACTGCTTAGCCTCCTAATCCGTTTCTTCAGTTCTTCATTTTCTTTTTCCATTTCATTTTTTTCTCTCAACATTTTAGCAAATGCTTTTTGCTTCCTCTGAAGTTCTTGGTTCAACTCATCCCTTTCATCAGACAAAGAACTTTCCCTGGTTTTACTTATTTTGAGGTTATCTGTAAGTTTTGTAATCTGGTTATTTAATTCCTCTATCTGTGTCTAGAAGAAAACAAACAAACAAACAAACAAACCAGCAAACCCCCAAAATCAGGAATATCAACACTACAACAATGCAATACAATGATATTACCTAGTACTCACCACAAGCCCCTTTGTTTGTCTGTCAACAATCTCCTGGACATTCATATATGCCTCTTTTTGTGATGCAGCAGAAATAATCTGCTGTTCAGCATTAGCAGTCATTTCTGCTCGGAGCTCCAGAAGTGCTTTACTCAAAGCCTGAAAATAATAAATTCAAGTTCTTTTACGTGAACAAGAAAAGGCAATTATATTTTACTATTTTATATTATGCAATTATATTCTACCTCCTGCTGTAATATACATAGCATTCTTAAGCTTTAAGTAACATTAAACATTTATGTGACATAGGGATTAATTTTTGTTGACTGACTTTCTGCTGCTTCTCTTTTATGGTTAACTGGATCTTCAGCTGGTCCACCAGGTTTTTCAGTGTTGCTGTGGGTGCTCTATTATTTGCTTCTTTTTGGACCTCTAGTTCAGCTTTTACATTTGTTAATTCCGTCTCCATCTGAGATAACATGTTCCTCAATTCATTTGCTTCATCTTTTAGTTGTTCCACATCACCCGTGTGCTTTTCCTGAAGCCTAATAAAAAATAAGCATTAAGAGAGTACACTGCAATAATTAAATTGGCAAGCTCCAAATAAATAACAAAAGGCACGATGTTACGTTTATTTATTATTGTTAAAGCAAGTGACACATGGATTTGGAAATAACAAGAAGACTGACTCAACAAAGAAGTCTTCTATTTAATAAGAAAATTACTCAAGAAGATGAGGAAAATTAGATTAGAGCATTGTTCATTCTAATTCTTGGCCCTAACAGATAAAGCATCATACTTTCCTCCTTTTAAACAGGGGTTAAATTTTCAAGAGTTTATGTTTGTTAGGTAGCAAGCTCAAATAGATGTATTGGGGGGAAAAAAAAAAACAACAAAACCAAAACCAAAAACCACAAACCAGCAAGAATCACAGTAGCTTGAAGCCAACTTTCATACCAAGATTCCTTGAATACTTTCTTTTTCACTGAATGGCACAAAGCTAACAACTGAAAGGCATTTTTCCAAGCCACAGTTTTTCAATATTAGCTCCGAGGAAGGGCTACAGCTTAAAATTAATTTACAACTACCAACCATAGTAACTGTTTTGAGTTAGTTTTTTCAGCCAAATCTTAAATTTAGCAAAAACATGTTCAATTTGATAGACCAGTCCTGTAGCAGCAATACATAATTGACTTGATCCAATCCAACTGTGACTTATGTTAACAGTTTAAAAACTTACTGAGCTCTGATAGTCTCAAACTCTTTGATTTTCATTAAAGTAATTTGTTTTTGTTTCTCCAAATCAGATGATGTTTTCTTTAATTTTCCAACAAGTGAAGCAAGAGAATTATCCTGTTCTGCTACAGTTTGCTCCATTTCAGCTAAGCGGAGAAAATGTTTGTTGTTGGAAAGTGATAAAGAAGTCTTTTTCATTAACTCCTGTAAAACAAAAAATGCATGTGATAAACATTTTAAGCTTTAAATAAAAGGTAAGTATTACTGATGCATTTTAAACTCAATCCCGAATATAACCAAGCATTAATATCTAACATGTTTATGTACTGAGATGTGATTCTCAGTCCACAAAGAAAGCAGACACGCTGGTTTGAAAAGAGCTCTGTGAATCTAATGATCCACAGAATAACCAGTTAAATATAGGTTTCACCTTATCATAAAGTGTCAAGACAAAATTTATATTGAAATGGGTTAGTTTAACATAACCACAGATTGAATGAAAAGAACAGAAAAAAAAAATATACCTTTCTCTTCTAGAATTCTCCATGACTTAGGATGATATGAAACATGTTCATATATATTGAAAAGGTAACTTTGTTTTTTTACACTTGACTTCTATTCCATCTCTTGCAATTTCTCTCAAGAATAATACAACAATCCTGTACCAACCATCCATTTATTTTTCCTGTTATCATTTATTACTTACTTTTGAGTGCAAAACTGTTCTTTTGAGCAACTCTTTTAAAAATTTGGAAACAACTTCACTAATCCCACAAACACACATAACTCACCAAAGCAGTCTGTTTGTATTTATTAAGGGAATTTTCAGTATGCAAATTTAACTTCTGGTATAGAACTCTAAGGTCTTCCTCATGCTTCTTTGCTATTTCCTCTTGTTCCTGTGAGTTCAAAATAAAAATATAACTCTACTGATGTACACTATTCCAGAAAGTAATGAAACTACAATGCTTTCATATTGATTGCTCACTCATTGCTCAGTATGGCTCCCCAAATTTTCCTCTAATTCTGGCAGTTTTTAAAGTTTTCTTGCTATAATCAATTTTTTTTTTTTTTTTTTCCTTTTTAACACTATTGGAAAAAAATCTACTATTGCAGTTTTAAGCTACGTAGCAAGTAGCATGGTGTCACAGGACAGGATCTGGAGAGCAAAACAGTTAGGTGTTGGTCCTCACCAACTACGACTATCAATATGAATAGCGATATCCATACTATGCACTTTTCAGGTCTACTGCCTTTGGGCTGTAGTGTGATACCATGGATTGAGTGTCTGGTAGCAGACAGAGCACAGTAGGCTCTTTTTTACACTGCATCTTCTGGTTTAGTTCTGAAACAAAAAACCTGATTTCTCCCTGAAGAAACAGCTACACATGTCAACCAAATCACGCTAAGTGAAGAAGATAGGAAGTCTGCTCTGGAAATGTGCTCCTGATCCAAATACACTAATACTGATGCATGTTTAGACTCAAAGTACCTCTTAGACACAAGATTTATGCTTTAAAATATGCTTTAAGGGTATAAAGAATATAAAGTATGCTTAAATAATATAAAGTATGCTTAGATACAATGTTTATGCCTTAAAATACGCCTTAATTGAAAATATGCTTTAAGAAGCTTATTTTCCATAAATGCATGTCTTTCCTGTGCCTTCCAGATTCACTACAAGATGCAGTCCAGAGATCATTGTTGCAAGTACTGGAAAATCCCATATACATATATAATATACTAACACCATTTCTCACAGCAGAATTTTAATTTTCTTCCTGTCATACTAATTTAATTCCTAGACAGACATAGAATCATAGAATGGTTTGGGTTGGAAGGGACCTTAAAGATCATCTAGTTCCAACCCCCCTGCCATGAGCAGGGACACCTTCCATTAGACCAGGTTGCTCAAAGCCTCATCCAACCTGGCCTTAAACACTTCCAGGGAGGGGGCATCCACAACTTCTCTGGGCAACCTGTTCCATTTATCATATACATCATATATATAGTTATCATATACATCATATACATAACCTTTTGACTGAGCTAACTTATTTTAAGAAGCTAAAAAATTCTACATGAACTTGGTACATAAAGAATTATTGTCTCTGTTCTATTACCTCTGAGGTTAGAAACTTTTTAAGATTTCACTAGCAATGAGATAAACAAAGAATCAGCTAAAACAATTTAAAAATGGAAGAAATTTTGTGCAAAATGTTTAACTACCTCTCTTGCTTTAGCAAGCAAATGTTGGTATTTTTTTAACACTTCCTCCTTTTGATTTAATCTTGCTTGCATATTTGCAATGGTTTGATGAGCAATTTTTATGGCATGATGGTACTCTGGATCATCTTCTTGTTTGCCTAATTCAGGCATTATTTTCTCTCTTTCTGATGTTGCAGGTAATCGAAGTCTCAGTTCATTTATAACTTTGTCTCTCGATAAAACATTTTGTTCAGCTTTCCACAGAGCAGTTTCCTTTTCTTTTAATTTCTGCAACAAAAGGCAATTGTTGCATTTCCAGAAATCAAACACTGCAAAAAGATCTTACTTTTTAAAAAATGTACCAGAAAGATTTGTTTAAATGGACTTATAAACACAAAGCATTTTGCACTCAGTTCTGGCTGTATGGGATTACTATTAGATGGAAAAAGTCACAGAATATCATTATCATGTCTTTATGTATTATTTGCTTGGCACAAGACACTTACACAACTCATTTTGTGCTACCAAATTAAGAAGCTGGTGTTTTTCAAATTTCTTAAGAACCACAAAGTATCTTCTGTAACAGAATTTCAATTTAGCAATTAAAGATAAAAGGATTTTGCTATACTACTTGTTAAATTTAATTAATATTTGCTAAATTTAGCTATCTATAGTAAACTGAATTTTGTACAGCAAGAGGATCTTAACCTACTAAATGAACATTCTAAAATATTCAAAAGTTTTTACCAATAATTTTTTTCCAATGGAAAAAATATTTTATTTTAGTCATGGTGTGATTATATTATTTACATTTTCTCTCTGTTAAATACTTCTAAGGGGTTAGACACATCTGAGTGACATTTATAAAAGGATATTTATTATGCAAAAAAAAAAATAAAGGGTATAGATTTACAAACTTTGTCTCTTTATATGATAATTTATGCATTTAATTACCTCCTCCAGTGATCTGCAGGTTGCCCTAGTTTCCAGGATTGTTCGAATATGCTCCCGAATCTTTCTCAAAGCCAACTCAAGCTGTTGTGGGAGTGGCAAACTAGGGTCTGGAACTGATCCTGTAGCCTCTTCTAACTGCACAGAAAGATTCATATTCAAGTAATCCAACAGCTCTGAAAAAACATGCTTATGAGACTATTTTTAGTTAATTCAGTAGATATACCTTTACAGCAGTCCTCAGTATTTCATTTTGTTGATGATCATACAGGTCTAATTGGCGCTGCAGTTCTACTTCCCTCTGGTCCCAAGCCATTTGCCTTTCTTCATGAAACTATAACAAATTGATAGAAGTATTTTATTTATTGAAGGCAACGAGAATTTTATAACAATCTAAATAGAAAAAAAAAAAGAGATACCAAAATGTAAAATACTCAAATGTGCTATTAAAAAGAATTATGGAACCAAGATAACAAATATCTATGTTAAAAAAATTACTTGTTAAAATCACTTAGTGAAATAAGGAACAGGCTGTTTTTCTAACAGCATGCAGAAATACATACCTTGTTCTGCTGTACAATTTCTTCTTCCAGATTATTGATTGTATGTTCATATTCAGAAATTATATTATGCAAATACTTCACCTCTTCCTTTTGCTTGATTAACTCTCGACTGAGTTTAAGTTCCTGCAGATGGAGTTCCTCCATCTTCATATGCCATTCAATTACCTAATAATGAATGATACACTATTATATTTACCAAGCCCACAGGGCAACTAGATGCAGCTAAACTCTGACTTTGAGGCAGTATTGTACTTATCCAACCAACAAGAAGAAAGAGTTCTGCCTTTTTAAGCTTCTTCGCTTCTCTTGAGTGAGGAGGCACAGCAAGAGTATGAAGCTGCAAGAGGAATGACTGAAAAGTGCAGCAGACCACTGGAGAGGCAATAGCTTTCCTCTACACTGACAGAAGTACATTGCAAATAATTTTCAGATGACCTAAGCTACACCCTATGCATCTGTCCAGACTGAACAAAAAAAACATGCAAGAAGTTTGGCTGACTTTTCTAAAAGAGCAAAAGATTTTCAAAACCATTAAAAACTGCAAGTATTCAAAAATGCACATGTACTGAGAATAGCAGACATATTTATGTCAAAATGCTCTAGAAAAATATTTGAAAATTGCTGCTAAATTATTGTTCCTGCACCTATTTAAAAAGACATGCATTTGTACTGAAGATGTCACTGCACGCTCATGGAACAGAACCTCAGAATGCTACCCTGTGTTTAATATAATCTAATTTATAATTTAATGCAATTCATAATTTAATTCAATTTAAAATAACTGAATTCATAGTTAGCCTCTACTACCTATGCCACTTAACTGGTCACAAAAGCAAATTAGTAAATCTGACTGCACTGATTTTTACAGGGCAAATAACTAATGATATATTAGTTTTTAAAATAGGAAAACAAAAAATGATAACTGTCATATACTAACAAGGTGTATTTGACATCATTAAGATCTACGTTAAAACAGACATATAGGGAACAAGCTGAACGGAAATGTAATTTAAGCACAGATTAAATGAACAAAGCTATTCAAAGTTGGAAAACAGCAAACCTTTTGAGCTCCTCTTGTATCCTTCAATGCACTTATTAATTCTTCCAAACTCTTCAATTTTAACTCCATCTCTAATGCTCTGTTTTCTGCATTTCGACGCTCCTGCTGGGCATGCTGAACTTCCTCCAGGATCTTCAGTTTGTCATTCTGTAGCTGAATCATTGTCTTAGAGAATTTTTCTTGCTGTGCTAAAGGCAGAGCACCACTAAACTGTCGCCGCAAAGACTGAACTGTCTGCTGTAGATGTTTGGCTCTATTTCTTCCTTCCAGTCGGGCAAAATATAAGGCTTGCTCTCTCTCATCAAGCTTCTGCTCTAAACGTAGATTATGAATCTCCATCTTCTGTAGTTTCAATTTAAGTGTCTCCGATTTGCCTACAGCAACAGATTCACTACCTTGAAGGGCTATGATATGTTGATGCAGTTTTGCAATAACTGCTTTTTCATCTGACTGTGCCTAAGAACAAAATATATAGAACAAATTTATTTTTCATTTTGAATACATTAATGGAGTGTATATGCAAATATAAACAAGGGTTTTTTTATTTTATATATCACATGCATTTTATTCCACAGAAAAGAGCAAAAATTAGCCTCTAAAAACAGCTTTTTATTTTTCCACTATTGTTTCTACAACCACGTTTTCTGACATCTTTTCAGATACTGATCTTAAAAACTGTATCTTTTCAAAATACCAGGAAATGAGGAAGAAAAGTACACCTAAACTTAGAAAACATGGTAACGTAAAAGCTGACAAAAAGCGTTGTATTTAAGGATTCAAATCATTCTAGAAAACAAATGCCAAGAAATTGTTTCAGCTAATAACAAAGCAATATAGCAAATCTTCTGCAAATCTTCAAGATTTACAAGTCATTGCTTGTCTTGTAAAAAAAAAATAAAATCAAACTTTCCTGATACTACATATAAATATTGGCCATGAGCTATTAATCATAATATTAATCATACTACCTAAATAACATGGAAAAAAAGCTTAGGATCTGTAATAGCTGTACAGCTGGAAATGGAAATAATGGAGAAGGTAATAATTAATGTAATATAGAACTCTTCAAAAGGCATTGCCACTACAAGGACCAAAGTTCCTTCTGAAATGTTCTTGCAATTTCCTAATTCATTGTAAAATTACTTCATTTCTCCTCTCTCCAGGGAAAAAAATCCAAAATGTAGTGTTAATAAAGATTAAATTTTACCTGATAGTCTAAAATTTGCATTCTAAGAGATTCCACTTCTTTATCTCTGTATTGCTGGCGTGCCTCCATAGCTTCAACTTGCATTTTTGCTATATCAGACAGTTCTCTTAATCTTGCACGGAAAAGAAGAACAGTGTGTCACTTGAAACCACTGAATGACCCATTAAGTTTTTCTACATAGAAGATGCTAAAACATGCTTAGTATGTTTCCTCATATCAAAACATCTGAAGACTGGTCTTTTCAGAGTCCCTGTTACGAAAATTCTTCTGCATTGCCTCTCAATTTTTTCACAGGACATTTTCTTTCAAGTTATGCAGAAGTTTGCTAGCAGTAACCTGCTCCAGGAAAACAATGCCATGGTTTTTACTTGAACTAAGCATCTCTGTCCCCTACTTCTTTCCCACTTCAGGACATAAATGCTTAGAAAGTTTCATTCTTAATTTCTTTCTCTGCTTCCCCAAGTCTAATCACTCATCTTCAGCGTCAAAAATCACTGCAAATATCCCCACAGACTTTGCTGTTTTAGGAATATAATAGGATTACATTATTTACTCAAAGACAAATGTCCGTATCAACATATCTAAAAAGGTCAGATTTTAAATTTATGCATACAAAGTTAGTCACTTAATGGCAAAAAATCCCCCTACTGCAGTTCAATCTTTGATACCTAGGACTCTCTGAAAGTAAGAACTGCTTTCTAGTTTCTTTTATGAGATTTTCATCCATTTAAGGGAGGTTGTGTCAAAGAAACAAAATAAACCTTAATTAATTAGTTTAAAAATACTAGTAATAAGTATGTAAGTGCACACTTACCCCTGCCTATCCAGGCCAGCATTTAATTCCTTGCTCAAATCAAAATGAAGCAAATTACTTTCTTTATAGTCATTAATTAAATGCTTAATTTTCAATTCCAAATTTGGCATACATAAATGCCAAAAAAATCAGGCATTGAAAATTATCTGTTTGTATAAGCCTATATAGCCAAAATTTTTGTATGCTCCAGGACATACTGCATTCAAAATTTGTTACTTCAACACTTACTTTGATACTTCAATCTTGAGTTCCATCTCACGCTTCTCTAGGTCCATGATTTGTCGTCTATCTGCATCACTTATTGCCTTACTTACACTCTTTGACAATTCATCCCTTAATTCCTGTTCCACTTTCTGTGCCTCAAGGTTGATTTTGGTGAGCTTAAAAGAAAACCCAAACAAAACCAGAAACAAAATAGTATCCTAAGCACAAAACTGCTCCCAACCCTGCAAACAAAATGCAGTGTCAAAAGTATATTTTATTTTTTAGTCATTACAAAACACTTTTCAGTTGTGTTAAAAAAACCAGTTTCCTTTCCTCTCTGCTTAAATGTCTTTTTGTTTGCAGCTTTGCATACACATAGGAACAGATATAGAGGTCCATGCAGAACAGGATTCTAAATTAAACACAGTTTTTATTAGTGAATTTTCTTAAAACCATTACCACAATAACTTGCTCTTAAACTAAAATAAGAAAAAAGAAAAAGAAAAGAAAAAAGAATAAGACTGTAAACTCTTCAGGAAATGAACAGTCTAACTTCTACGATTTTATACTGTCTAGTATATCAGGATTGGTAAAATAAATACAGATTATAAGTACCAAGACTCACTAGTGTAGTTCTTTTGTTCCCTCTAAAAAGAACTTTTATAACTAAGTGATATTCTTTCAAGAAGCCTGATTTTTCAATTTTATTATTAAATACTGAGTAACCAATGTTTCAACTCAAACTGAAGAGCATTAAGAAAAGGCAGACACTTGAAAAGCATTAGGCAACACAGAGAAGCCTTCAGAATTAATTTAGTAAATACAGTTTTGACAGATTAATCAGATACCACTCCTTAAAAAAAATAACTTATTTCCTAAACAAGAAAAAAAAAAAAAAAGGTGGTATATATATTATCTGCACTTCACATACTTGAGGCACTAGTATCTTGAAAACTAACAGTCATTTTGAAGTAGATTTATGAGTTAAGGAGATGTCTAGTAGACTACTTCTAGTTATCAGTTCTTAAGCTGATATCACTTACAACTTTCATTTATTACCTTAGCACAATCTTGTTCTCTCTCTCTCTCTCAAAAAAAAAAAAAAAAACCAAAACCCCAGTGATGCCAGATTAGGAGGCACTGACAGCAGGAGTATATGAAACAGAAAACATATGTCTTGGAGCTACAGAAATTGGGAAAAAAGGGGATGCACAGAGCAACTAGTAAGAAAAAAGTGTAGCATTAGGAGTTCAGCAACTCAAAATGAAGGAAGACCACCAGCAGACCTAAACATATCACAAGACAGGTAACAGGAAATGAAAAAGAGAAAAAGGAAAATGTGATCCTAGGGTGCATCATCTGAGGTATTTCTTAATGAAATAAATGAAGTTATGACATGAGAAAAGGCTTTAACAATACTGCTGCTGAAAACTTTTATGCACTTTCAGTTACTTCATATCCCAATTAATTCAAATCAAAGCAGTGTAACAAACACTACTAAAACAAAAGAGAAATGGAGAGTCCAGGTAACAGCAATCTAAAATAGCTAGGCTAAAGAGTAGCAAAGCAAAAGGAGGAGGAAATGAATAAAATCTATCAACAGTCCTGTCAACATAAATATTCTTTTCCTTCCCTTATGTTTAAATTATAGGAAAGTACTGGCACAAGAACAAATGTAGACAACTGCCTATAAATAAATTTAGACTGGAAATTATAACAAAGTCCCCTACTACTAAATAATGAATTTATGGAACAAACTTCAAATACAAATAGTGAGGACAAAAAATCTAACAAGATTAAGACTGATATAGGAATGCTATAGGAAAACACGTGACTTCTCTTCTATTCCTGTATTATAGATAATGTTTGGCATGTGACAGAGGATATATCCAGTCTTTAACAGAATCATGACACTATCATTTGCAAAAAGGATGCAAAGGTCTAAAATTTTTTGAGTCACTGGTAATTAAGGGAAAATTAGCAGAAAAGGGATCATATGAATTAGACTCAAGAAATAAGAGGTCAAGAACAGACTTTTTTCTAGCAGTCTGCTGAAAAACTAGGAAACTACCTGTCAAGATGCTCATCGTATGTTTTACAGAGATAACTAACGTTTGATATAAACTGACAGATTAATTAGTTATATTTTTACAAATGTCCTGTGCATGCAAAATTACATCTCTTAAAGGCAGCTGTATTTTGCATTATAAGCTTATTTGCCAGCTTGAAAAGCTAAAAAATATGCTTTTAAGATATGTCAGATTATGTTCTTAAATCTCAAGATTTACCTCAGCAAATTTTGCTTCCAATTCAAAATTACGTTCTTCTACTTGCTTTACAGTGCTCCTTAAATGTTCATACATCTGTTGTGAATGTTCTGCTCTTTGTCTTTCATTTAGTTCCTTCATTTCCAACATTGTGATTTTCTTAGAAATGGACAAAATCTCACTGTTGGTTATTGCTTTTGTAGCCTTGTCCATGGCATCATCATCCCCTACATTAAAAAAATATTTAAATTAGGGAATACACAAACTGGTTCAACTACAAAAATTATTTGCACCATGAAACAGAACATGAGTTTTGCTTTATCTCTGTCAGATAAACTTTATCAAAACATCTGTATGACTTTTTGAAACTGGAGACATTATCTTGCCTTATTACAAGGTTGAAAAGTATCTAATTTGAATAAAATATTATTATCAACTATAAATGGGTATATCTGCAACCCTGGTTATTGAGACTGAGAACTACTTTCAGTGTAGCCTTTCACTTCATCGTTAATTCAGATGGCAAGTCTTCAGGAAATTTAATTTAAAATCTATAAAAGAGAGAGATCTGGATGAGTTCTTGAATAATAGGAATGTAAACTGTACACAAAGAAGTCCCAGGTATCAAGAAAACATACTTTGTTACAGAGCATGAAACCAGGATATTTTTGTGATAACCTATGAAGTACTTTGACTGACAATCAAGTTAAAATATTGCACCTTATTTAAAAAAAAAAAATAATCACGTGACGTCACTTTACAAGTTCCAGCTTTCAAACCCTTGACCCAATAACCCAAGAAAATTCAACATGGAATAGTTTCCAGGGGAAAATACCAAACTTGTTTTGGTAAAATAGATAAGTAAAATGAAATGAACCAAAAAAAAAACCCCAAAAATTTAAGCCTGTTAATGAAAGATACAAAATAGTTTTGAACTTTTTTTTGTTGTTTTAAGATACATAAATTTTAAAACATTTTAAAATACTGCTTTTACACAGGACATATAATTTGATTTTTAATGTTGCAATATAACTTTTATACTTGCCCAGTTTAGTCATCTGTTCCCAAGCCTGTTCTACAGTGTGAAGTTTCTCTTTCGTGATCTCCAGTTCCTTATTCAATAAATTTATCTGTGCTTTCAAGGATTCATTCTCATGCTGTATGACAAAACAGTTGCAACATAACAGCAAACTGTATCAGACTTGATGTTTAGTATCTATAAAATCTTTTAAACTAACAGATTTTACCTATGCACAACCCATAATCTACATATATGGCAACAGAAGAGCGGAAGTTTCCTCCTAAGTGTAAAAATGCTAGTCTTTGCTCTCTATGTTGTATCTTACTGTCAACAAGTATTACTGAGAATATTTATCATCAGTGACTGTGATTCCTAGAGTGTCTAGAATCAGATGAAGAAATCTGTATTTGTCATACTCAACACTTCATTAACAGCAGGAAAGAAAGAAATACTTCTGGAGGATATTTCATCCCACACAGGATACTTCATCTTGCACATAAATACATATTTGAGACAGATCATATGCTTCTTTTAGTTCTTTTAGGCATCTAATATGATGTCAAACATTAGTTTTTTAAATGTTCCTTTACTCCTCCAAATAGAAACATGAATTTCCCCATTAATCAGTAAAACAAACTGAATAATTCACATTAATTTTCAATTTATAGTTTCCTAAACACATTTTTAGTTTGCTATTGATAAATTATTATTGATAAATTCTATGAAAATGCTGAAACAGGCAATGCAAGTTTTCATACACACAAAATTTCATAACATTGATAAGGAATCATTCATTCTTTAGCTAACACAAATGCACCTGCTTGTTCCCAAGCAGACAAATTTACTAGCTCAGTAAGTTTACCCATTCTATGTATTTAACTCTTGTCAACCAGAGAAACCAAACAGATAAGGACACGACACGAGCCTTAACTACTGGTTAAAGTATTACTTTCTTCAACTATTATTTCTGACATGTATGAAAAGTGCGAGGTAGCAACGTATCTTCGAAGCCAGCTTCACAGTTCTTGAAAAGAAGCTCCCTTCCACTTGAAAATAAAAGTTCAAAGGAATAGTTACATATTTGCAGTCCCTATGACATTTTGCAAACGTGTGGTGAACAATCTTTGGATATTTACTTTTTTTATGGAAGTAAAATTCCAAAGGTTTACTGCCTTTTGGAAATGAACATTTAATTCCTGTAAGTCAGGAATTAGTAAGAGTATTTACTTTGAGAGAAAGCTTGGAAAGTTTTTATACTCATTCTACTTGCCTTATGACCTCCAAAACTGAAGATGATAGTAAATATTCCTTCTGCTAGACTTGTTTTGGTAATCAAAGAACTAACAATACTTTGTGAGAGAACATACCAAGAGCTTAACTTAAAAAGCAAATAAATAAACAAACAAAAAACCCCAATGAAAACCACCAAAACAATTAAACAAAATGCTTTTACATACGCCCATTGAAAAAATATCTGTGACTGTGTGTGTTTCTTAATCGACTGAAAAATACCAGCTAAGGAAATTAAAATTTGATAGCAACAGATTGGCTCCAACATCTCACACCCACTATGGAACTGTTATAAGCAGCAGTCCTAGTGCCTGGACTTCCATGCTATCTTTCTGATAAGTGAGAACAAAACTCAATGCAGAACAAATGTATAATGAGGATTTCTGCCCTTAGGGTTCAAACATTACCTCCACGTGTTCCATGTTTGTTGTCCTTTGGACGAGCGAGTTATCTTTTTGTAACAGATCTCGGTATTTAGCAGTTAATGCGTTATACTGCTTATTAGCCAGCTCTAGCTCAGACAATGGCACACTACCATCCAACGCTTTTTGCAGAGCTGCAATCTTAAAGCTAGCCATTTCCTATAAAAATAATCAACACAATGGGTTACTAAGGTCTGCTAGATGTTTAAATAGAAAAACCAAAATTACTCCATGGAAAAATAATACTACTTAATATAATGCTTTAGAACTTGATACCAGTTTATTTTACTAAATTACTGTCCATCTTTATAAATTGCTTGCAATAAACATTGAAAAAATTTCTCTGGTATTCCAACTCTCTGTGTAATTTTATCAATAGCTGCCACTCAGCCATAAGGCACTGCCAAAATCATATTTTATAAAGACAAGTTAATACAGGCCCTAGCAACCTACAAGGCCAAAAAGTAAGATTTGGTTTCATATGACACTTTCAATAAAAAGAACTCACTGAAGCAACTTCAGAAAGGGAAAATTGTCAGGTTTTCTATTATGATGCTTACTTAAATACAAAGAATGTTTTGACAAAATTTATAACAGCATTTAACGAGTACTTCGGTACTATATTCAAGAAACTACTATTGCCTCCATTTAAAAAAGTGTATTTATTGCCAAATTGTAAAAATAAGAATTTAATGTTACTACTGTAAACTATACCTTGAATCGTTGCAAGTTTCCAATCTTTCCTGTAACTGCAGTCTCCATATATGTTATTTCACCCTTGAGTTTCTCATTTTCTTTCCTAAGATGCTGTTCCGTTTCAAGTAAAGTGGTATACTGCCTTGTTAGTGACCTTTCATTAACTCGGAAAACAGTTATTTTTCTATTATTTTCTGCAAGTACTTTTTTTGTTTCATCAGGATCCAGCTCAAGTGCACTGAGTAAATTCTGTAAAATAATTTTTTAAACAAGAACTTTGTACAGAAATATGGTAAAACTCAACTATATTGACAAGCTTTCTTGTACATTTTTTAATCTAGGTGTAAAAATTCCATTAATCTGTATGAAACAATTTCTTTTTGCTAATAAAACATATACACACACTCAACATGCGCATAAGCATACTACATTCTATTATAAGAAAAGAAAAAAATAAATCTTCAATATCATTAGTTTCTGAGGAATAGAAGCTAAATACACGTGACTGACTAACTGGAATTTTAGTTAATGCTGACATTTTCAAAATTTAGAAGAAAAATAATTTTCTGTATTCACTCAGTCTTCTCCTCTTTTACTAGAATCAAAACAAATGTATTGGAACAATTTTCTAAACCAAACAGAATTCCTGGGGTTCCGAACAAAAACTAACAACACCCTACTTTCTTGACCAAACCAGTATTTGTAAAGGAAGCCACAGGACCCCTGCTATCAAAACGTGTGTGTGTCTGTGTGTGTGTGTGTGTGTGTGTGTGTGTGTGTGCGCGCGTCCAGGGGCAGAGAGAGTTATAATGCAGCACTTATAACCTAGTTCAGCTTCAGAAGTTTCCCCACTGTCCAAATGTTGAGATCCTCTGTGCAGATGTGAGTGCTTCCTTCCTGCTGGACACCATGAGCCTCGGCACTCCAACTAATGGACTGGTGGTACCAAGTGCAACAAGAAGGGACTCACACTTCAGGTGTGTGTATGTGAACTCCTGGGGTGATTTTGCACCAGTGCATGGATTACCAGACTGCAGGGAGGTGCATGGGTACACAGAACAGCAGAGTACTCCCACATGTACAGGGCACCCGAGTACACACACGAGGCGTGTGTACACAGTGAACTTGCACTCTCAGGAAAGGGTGTGTGTGCTGGTAAACTGAAGGGACCAAGGAGTGAGTATTGCTGTGTGAACGCGGATCTGTGGGATGGGAAATATTTGGTATTAATTCCTGAATGTGCTTAGAGATTTTTCTGTCTATGGTAACATTTTGTTTGTGTCTTAATCTTGTGATTTACCTTTTGTACTGTTGATACTGATTCTGAATGTTTAGTTCACTGATTGCAAGTTATTCACATTCCACTATATATCAATCAATTAACCACTTCCCTTCTGATTTTATTTGAATTAAGCAGATCTTCCCCGCAACATTTTCCTTAACAAATTACAGTATTTTATTAAACCCTCTGTTTTATGTATTAAAACCCTTTTGAAAAATCAAAGTAACAAAATTACTTACAGAATATGCCTTTACTTTTATAGCATCCTGTTCTTTTTGCTCTTCTAGCTTTTTCTTTTCCTCTTTCATAACTTCTGATTCCTTCTGCCAGGTTTCCTTAAGACTAAAATAGTAATTAAATATTTTCATTTAGAATGATGAAAGACTTGATGATTTTTAAAACCGTAACTAAAACAGTAACCCTGGTATTTTGCAAACCAAGATAGTTACTTTTAGCACTAACATAATTTGAAAAAAGACATTATAAATTGTAGATGGATTACTGAAAAACTGTCCCCTCTGTTTAGGCTGCAGCTGGTTTGACGATGAAAATAATTCGTAAGTGTCTTATCTCCTCTTCCCATGTGTACTATAGTGCAGTTGTAGACATGCATTACTCTCCAAAAATATACATGTATGGGATTTAATCTGCTTTAAATCACACACTTGTATTTCAAATTACTTATTTCCTTGCACATGTCTTTGTAAAAATAGGCAAAGTTTAAAACTTTGCAAATAAAAACATTTCCACTTTAAGTACCTACCTAGAAACTCCAGGTCTCCCTTTTACAGGAAAGGAGACAAAAATCATACTACTGGCAATTACCACGCTGTAGCCCTGCAAATAGGACTTTTCTTTTTGAGGTAGCCTAGGCCCAGCAGATTTCAGCAGGTATTCACAATTGTGCCCAATAATTTGGCTGATGAGATTTACAGCTAGTTAAAATGGTTTGTCAAATAATCAATGACTCTTTCCATAACTGTTTCCTTTGCATGAAGCACTCGCACATCCATTAGCTAAGAGGGACAACTTGCAAGAGGAACAAGGCTTCCGCAGTCAATTTTGAAGTATTTTTAATGAATCATGCATAATGGTACAGTATTGTAAGGAAAAAAGTATGCACTCATCCTCCGAGAATTCCCCTCAGCACAGTAGTTAACATTTCTTTACAAGATGTTGGTTCAAATTTCCCTCAGGAAGTGGAGAGAATTAAACTTAGGTTTCCCATATATAAATTCTGCCTTAGGGGTCAGATTTCTAAGCAAAAGGACAGGCAATGGCTGTAATACTAACTAATTTTTTTCAATGGTTTTGCAACTCTTTCCTTCTATTACGTTCATTTTATTTCAGATGCATAAAGGACATAATTTCCCACCCTAGTTTTTCTACTTCAGTGAAAAACAAACAAAAGCATAAAAAGATTCAGCTTTGCTTTGGCCCAAACTATTCTTCTCTATCCACTTTTATTTATTTATTTATCTGGAAGCAAACAATACTATGAACTGTTTACACATGTCTAATAAGGAAGTTCCTAGAGACTGTATAGGATAGTTTAGATTCGTTTAAAGAAATAATCAAGGCTATTTCAGAAGTAGTATTTTCTCTTCAAAGATCTCTTTATTTCTTCCATAATGCGGAGAAGAAGCCTTGAATCACCATCTTATCCCTGTCATTGGAGATACCTCATCTAGTAGTAAATGAGGCAGTATATTATAGCCTTTAATATTTTCAAAAAGTTATAGCTTTAATGCCTCAAACAAAGATAATATTATCTGGGAAGTCTTAACTGATACAAAGAACACACAGAAGGTCACAAAAGATAAAGCAACCCTATTCCAAAAGCCATCCAGCAATGGTTCATTCAAATCCAAAGAGAGAGAGAGGACACAACTAACAGTCTGTTAATTGAAGAACTCATATTACTAGATTCACCTCTATGCTTGTAACAGATGAAAATCCTTTTTTTTTTTTTTACCATAAAAAGGATTTTATAGAAATTAGATTCAATGCAGCATATAAAGGAACCAAGAGCTTTTTCACCCCCCCCTCAGAAAAACTGTTAGGACCCACACTTGAAAACAAAAGAAAAAGAGACTAAAGAGTCCATAAGACCAAGTTCTCATAAAATACAAGATATCAGACGCAGAAAGCACAATGTAATCCACATTATGAAGTATGTAATATGAAAAGAGTCCATCAGAAAATGTTTTTGTTAATTTTTCTGAATCTTTACAGGACTAAGTAAAATATATGGAGTCCATATCCAAGAGCAGCAGCATTCATGACATTAACCAAAGGACTACTTCAACACAGCAGCAAATCTTGTATTAAAAATTATTAAACATTTAGATAGCTGAACTTCTGTAATTCAGAAAAGAGAACAATACCTTTGATATTCTTTATACAGCAAGCCTTGTTGATGACGAATTACTGCAAATTTTCGCTTGTAGTCCTTTACTGCATCTTCTAATTGTTTAAGCGACAGTTCTTTATTTTCCAGTTCCTAGTGATTATTTTCCAAATAAAAATATTGAAGTTATTAATATAGGTTTAAAACATAAAAGGATTAATCAAAATGTCAGTTCTCCCTTGTGTTTTTCATGACGGATACTTCTGTCATGAACTGTGTGAACTGCAGATATGAAATGTGCCTTTTCTTTACAAGCAACAGATGAAAAAAAAGTCCAGTAACCTTTGGCATTCGTATTAATAGGTGTGAAATAGTGCATAATTGCACAGTGGATTACAGCCCTCAGAGTTCAAAACACAATGATATGTTGCTAGCCCACAAAGAATACTAATTGAATGTCTAACTGGAAAGCGATGCTTTCTTCTTGTGTTCCCGAATACTCTTCTACATTATAATCACATGCAGTTGAAAAATAATCTCTTATCAACAAATGTAAAGTGATCAAAGACAGAACAAAATAATTTAATAATAATAAAAAGGTAAGTTCTTTTTGCTCCAGTTCTCAAAGAATCAATTCTTCTTTTCTATGTGCTCATCTACTATTCTTCCCATGGGAATCATTGGCTTCAGTTTCAGTGTATTTATGCCTCTTTACCAACGCTGACATATTCTTGACAAATAATGGAATTAAAATTCATATGGTAAATAAATGGAGACCTTTGCTGTATAGAGAAAAACTGTTCAGAGTAGGATTTGCACTTGCATATTCAGGTGTGGAATACAGACAGCAATGAGAGAGAATTTAGGACAGGGAACTGCTTGAGAGAGTTCAGCACAGAGCCACCAAGATGATTAAGGGAGTGGAGCATCTCCCTTATGAGGAAAGGCTGAAGGAGCTGGGTCTCTTTAGCTTGGAGAAGAGGAGACTGAGGGGAGACCTAATTAACGTTTATAAATATGTTAAGGGCGAATGTCAGGAAGATGGAGCCAGGCTCTTCTCAGTGATGTTCAATGATAGGACAAGGGGCAGTGGGTGCAAGCTGGAACACAGGAGGTTCCGCTTAAACTTGAGAAGAAACTTCTTTACGGTGAGGGTGATGGAGCACTAGAACAGGCTGCCCAGGGAGGTTGTGGAGTCTCCTTCTCTGGAGACACTCAAGACCCGCCTGGACGCCTTCCTGTGTGATCTCGTTTAGGTTCCTGCTCCGGCAGGGGGATTGGACTAGATGATCTTTTGAGGTCACTTCCAATCCCTAACGTTCTGTGATTCTGTGTTATTCTGTGAAAATTTCTCATAGAAAGAGTGCAAATGCAGAAGTGGAAAGAAGAGTGGGCAAATATTTAGATCAAAATTCAGATTTAAAAAAAAAAAAAATCTGAATTGTTGTCAAAAACTTAGTTAAGTATTAGCTTCCATGTTTACAACACAGCAAAATAGTTACGCCTTTAAAAAAAAACAGAATAGCCCAAAGAGTTTACTGAATGTCAGAAGTTCAAAATAATTTTGGAGAATTCTCCCATGTACATACATGGTATGGTACTAGATTTTGGAGGAATTAGCTGTATGTTACAAATGTTTTTGATATCAAGGAGTAAATGAGTTACCTGTATAAGATGTACTAAATATTCATTCAGAGAATTAACCATATTAACACTTGAAGGAACCATTCCTTCTGGAAGATTCACTGTTTGAAAGACAATATTGGCACCTTCTGACTGACGTAATAAGCAAATTTCATTTTTCAGATGAGTAATCTAAAAAAAAAAAAAGAAACAAAAACCTAAATAAGTGTCTCTTCCTATTCAATTAAAAAAAAATCACTAGTGGAAAATACATTGTTTTCCTGTGCTACAACAGTTGTTATTAACAACGTAATTCATTTCCACTTATATTGTAAATCACTCAAACACTCTTTAAAGAAACCCTTTAAAAATGCTATGACTCCATAAATCAGTAAATGTGTAACATCTTAAGCCAAACTTATCAAATGACTCCAGCAATCAGAGTAGCTTCACATATCTGTGGATTCACCACAGTTCTATTCCAAATTGTTTAAAACACAGTGTATTTCTATTCCTTCTAAAAAGGATAAAAAAAAAGGTTTGGATAGAATTATTGCAGTGGTTATTTGATGGTTTATTCTAAACAAATCTTTGGCTTTCATTTAACTTCTTAAAAGCTCTCTGGTTCTCTAACAGTATAAGTAACTCTATTCTAGAATATTAGTTACTGGGAATTTTTTTTGCATCCCCAAAGCTGTTCTAAAAGACAAATTTACATTTAGCACCTTGTATGATAATAGTCCATTCCTCACTCCTGCCCTGGAAGAAGCATTCCACAGAATTAACTATACAATTTAAAACAAGATACAGGATTTTAGAAACCAATTCATCATTTTAGAACACTTAATCTCTCTTACTTATTTATAAATAACAAATGCAAGACTACTAGCTTTTTGAAGAAATAAAACTGTGATGTTTTTTGGGCACAGCTCCCTCCAAAAGATAGGCATGCTTGGTGTTTAATGTGATAGGATATTCGAAGGATAAAGTAACATTACGAAGAGTAAGATTTTGTAGATCCAATACATAAATTTAATTAAGATTTGTGTAATTACACTGTTCACATAAGCTAAATTCAGAATCTTATACATTGTGTGGTTTTGCTATAAATTATCAGAGCAGCCACTTTTCAAGTACAAAATAAATTGTAAAAAATAACTGTATACCTTCTCATTTGCATTTGCCAGCTGATTAGAGAAATTTGTTGCCTCCTTCTGAGCCTGTTTCAATTCCTGTCTTAATTCTTCATTCCGTCCTGTAAGCTGGTCAACTTGAGCTTTCAAGTGCACACTAGCATCAAAGATTCCTTCTGAATTCTTTGACTCCATTGCCTAATGCAGTAAACATTTAATTAACAAACCAGAGAAGTGCAGAATTTTTTTTTTTTTTTCCCATAAAATCCACTTGGCAGCCAGTCACAAGTGGTGTTCCCCAGGGCTCAGTTTTGGGGCCAGCTCTGTTTAGTATCTTTATCAATGATCAGGATGAGGGGACTGAGTACACCATCAGTAAGTTTGCAGATGACACCAAGATGGGCAGGAGTGTTGATCTGCTTAAGGGTAGGAAGGCTCTGCAAAGGGATGCGGACAGGCTGGATCAATGGGCTGAGGCCAATTGTATGAGGTTTTACAAGGCCAAGTGCCAGGTCCTGCACCTGGGTCACAACAACCCCATGCAACACTACAGGCTTGGGGAGGTGGGGCTGGAGAGCTGCCCAGAAGAAAAGGACCTGGGGATGTTGGTCGACAGACAGCTGAACATGAGCCAGCAGTGTGCCCAGGTGGCCAAGAAGACCAACAGCATCCTGGCCTGTATCAGGAATAGTGTGGCCACCAGGAGTAGGGAAGTGATTGCACCCCTGTACTCGGCACTGGTGAGGCCGCATTTCAAGTACAGTGTTCAGTTTTGGGCCCCTCACTACAAGAAGGACATTTTGTTGCTGGAGCATGTCCAGAGAAAGGCAACGAAGCTGGTGACAGGGCTGGAGAACAAGTCTTATGAGGAGCAGATGAAGGAACTGGGATTGTTTAGTCTGGAGAAGAAGAGGCTGAGGGGAGACCTTATTGCTCTCTACAACTACCTGAAAGGAGGTTGTAGTGAGGTGGATGTTGGTCTCTTGTCCCAAATAACAAGTGATAGGAAGAGGGAATGGCTTTAATGTGCCAGGGGAGGTTTAGGTTGGATATTAGGAAAAAATCATTCACTGAAAGGGTTGTCAAGTATTGGAGCAGGCTGCCCAGGCAAGTGGTGGAGTCACCATCCCTGGAGATATTCAAAGGACATGTAGATGTGGTACTGGAGACATGCTTTAGTGATGAACTTGGCAATGCTAGGTTTACGGTTGGACTAGATTATTGTAATGGTCTTTTCCAACCAAACTATGATTCTATGATAAACTGGAACCCTCAAATTCAGACTATAAGAAATTTTCAAAGCATGAAAATCTAACATTTTAAAATCTACTTATCAGATTCCTAACAATATATTTGCCATAGACTGTGATTTAAATGGTCACATTTACCTGTAAAAACACTATTTTTGGGGGTAAAATTTTTGAATAAAGAATTTTCCTTAAACGGTTCCTGCAGGTCCCATATAGATAAAAGACGTGCAAACAAACTTTTACCTAAGCTTTATGAATGGGCTAAAAAACTTGCCAAAGACAGTTTTATACTATCCAGCTGAAGATGCTTTTAATTTTATTTTTATTGGCAATCTATTGTTGATGTATATTTTTAATTTGCATTTTTAAAGAGGTATTGCACTATGTACTCCTACTTGTATCTAAGAAAGCATATGTATAAGGAAGCTACTATTTCTGATATCCTTGTCTCTGAATTGGAAACATGGGGGTTTGATGGATGGACCACTCAGTGGATAAGGAACTGGCTGGATGGTCGCACTCAAAGAGTTGTGGTCAACAGCTCAATGTCCGAGTGGACATCAGTGACAAGTGGTGTCCCTCAAGGGTCGGTATTGGGACCGGTGCTCTTCAACATCCTTGTCGGAGACATGGACAATGGGATTGAGTGCACCCTCAGCAAGTTTGCCGACGACACCAAGCTGAGTGGTGCGGTTGACACGCTGGAGGGACAGGATGCCATCCAGAGGGACCTTGACAGGCTTGAGAGGTGGGCTTGTGCTAACCTCATGAAGTCCAACAAGGCCAAATGCAAGGTCCTGCACCTGGGTCAGGGCAATCCCAAACATAAATACATGCTGGGCGATGAGTGGCTTGAGACCAACTCTGAATAGGACTTGGGAGTGGTTGTGAATGAGAAGCTCAACATGAGCAGACAATGTGCACTTGCAGCCCAGAAGGCCAATAACCGTATCCTGGGCTGCATTGAGAGAAGTGTGGCCAGCAGGTCAAGGGAGGTGATTCTGCCCCTCTACTCTGCTCTTGTAAGGCCTCACCTGGAGTCCTGTGTCCAGTTCTGGAGCCCCCACCCCAAGAAAGTCATGGACCAGTTAGAACAAGTCCAGAGGAGGCCATGAGGATGATCCAAGGGCTGGAGCACCTCTCCTGTGAGGACAGGCTGAAAGAGTTGAGGCTGTTCAGCCTGGAAAAGAGAAGGCTTCAGGAAGACCTTATAGCGGCCTTCCAGTACCTGAGAGGGGCCTACAAGAAAGCTGGAGAGGGACTTTTTTCAAAGGCAGTTAGTGATAGAAAAAGGGGAAATGGCTTTAAACTGGAAGAGGGTAGATTTAGATTAATTATTAGGAAGAAATTCTTTCCTGTGAGGGTGGTCAGACACTGGAACAGGTTACCCAGAGAAGCTGTGGATGCCCCCTCCCTGGAAGTGTTCAAGGCCTGGCTGGATGAGGCTTTGAGCAACCTGGTGTAGTGGAAGGTGTCCCTGTTCATGGCAGAGGGATTGGAAGTAGATGATCTTTAAGGTCCCTTCCAACCCAAACCATTCTATGATTCTATGAATTATACAATAACCCAATAATTGAGGAGGAAAAAAGAAAAGCTAAACAGTACTTTAGAAAGCAAGCTTACGTTAACTAAACGATCCAGACTAGGGATTATTAAGGCTGTTTCTCCTCCCTTCACATCAGGATCCTTCTGCATCTCCTTGACAGCTTGCAGTATTTCTTTCATTCCTTGTTCAAGTTGCTTATTCTCTTCTGATAATTCTTTTACTGTAATAAAATTGTAAATGTTATTAAAAGCATTGAAAAAATGACTTAAGGTTTCCTAGGATATTTCATCATTATACCTCTTGATCTGATATATAAAAACAATGTTAGTATTACATATACACATAACTAAATAGGAAGTTAAAACCGGAGCTGCTAGGAATATCTGGAGAGTGTATTTTGCTGGAGAAAACCAAACAAAACAATAATGAAATGCTTCAAGTAAACACATACAACTTTATTGAACCTTCCAATCTTCAATGTTTCCTGACACTTTTTTCATTTCTTTAGTAGCCTGTCTGACTGGCTTTCACAAATCCAGAAACATGGCTATCTTGGAAGTGTTTGGGTGTAACAATAAAATATGTATAAATTGCCTGACTTCCTGCTGCAGACAGAGAAAAAAGAACATTTAAATTATTTGGCTGTAATAAGGACTCTCAAGACATACAGTTTTGCTGCCACTATTAGTCTCTCAGTGGAATTCTAGAGTTTCCTGTACAGAGCAAGAAATCTGGAAGCTTAAAAAAAAAAAAACCAAACAAAAAAACCCCAACCAAAACCTATCTGATTCTCTGAGTCTTAACAATATGTCCTGAAAACCCAGGAATGAACTGCAAAACCTTAGCAGTTTCACCAAGTCTATTTTGAAAAGTTAGAAAGAATTTTAAGAATTCACATTCTCTGGGGGGTGGGGGGGAAATCAAGATTTTTGTCTATAGAAATTAGAGTTATTTTTTATTCCAGAGTTTGCAAGCAGTGCACTTCAGCTAACGTACATATATATGTAAGCAGCAAGTGGGTTTAATACCCCAACACTTCCTTGGAGACAGGAAAGCACTACAATTATACAAGTAAATTGTATAATTATTATAACTGTGATCACTCACAGACTTAAAGCCCTTATTAGGTCCAATTCAGGAAGGAAAAACATGAGATATTCTAGATTAATGTATTTAGTATGAATAAACTAAGTTTCATGTACTATCACTAATTTAAGTTTAAAATTAGCTACACTATATATGTATTTATACACATGCACACAAAGATATACACTAATATAAACACAAAATTTAAAAAAAGTCATTAAGGAGAATTCAAGGACATTCCAATTCAATAAATGCCATTTACATTCACTGCTTTGTAGTCATTGTGTTCACATCTGGACCAATACACAACCATAATTTCCATCAGAATAACTGTATAATAACCTTCTATGTACATAGCAAATTCAATCACTGTGAAAGATACCAAAGTAAACTGCATTTAAAACAGAAACTGTAAAGACAGATATCTGTGGTCACAATCACAAAAACAAAACAACTAAAGAAGCAAACTATCTGCAGGTACCTGATAATATTCCCTAGTTTTAGAACAGGTTGCAACTTACATTTAGATTGAAATTTGGCTATTATAGTCCTGTTCTTCTCCAAATCTCTCTCTCTCACGCTTAATTCATTTGCGAGATACTCATTCTAAAGAAAAGAACAAAGAAGACTCAAAAATAGTAATTCAGGAATTTCAGCATTAGAATTTTCATTAAGACTGGTTAAATGAGAATAAATGCTTGAAAATAATGCTAATCCCTACATATTCAACAGTGAAACTGCATAGTAAGTAAACCAAAATGAGGTGTAATATAGAAGGCAACAAACACAGAAATAGTCTCACCTTCACAGCAACAAAATTATCAGGAAAAGTGTATTTAAACTATGAATAAACCTTATATATTTATCCTGTTTTGTTTTTTTTTTTTTTTAAATCTTGTACTACCTGCACTGCCTGGCTTCTGCACATTTCAAAATTTTATTCTATATAACTATTTAGCATACTCTTGATCAACAAATCTCTGGATATCTGCTCATACTTTAAAAAAAAAAAA